AGGTTTTGCAGCCTCCCGAGGATATATACGGACGTCTCCTTACCGATCCGCGAGACTCTACTAAACCTGCTCATGACTCGTGAGACCTATGTAACCTAGTCTCTGATACCAACTTGTCTCGACCCCAAACCAGAACCGATCGTGATGACGCCTCTCGTGAACCAAGGCCAGCCGATACAAACCCCAAATCAATTAACAGTTATAATAATTCATAATCAAGTCATTAATAAATGATAAATCCCAAAATAGAGTGAAACAAAGCAAATGCGGAAGCAACACAGCCCGACATCGGGGAGTCACCAGTCATGAGCATCTAACATCCGTCTAAGAGTATGAAAAGACTACACAGTCTAATACAAAGCTAGAACAAGTGAAAAAAAGTAGGAAGGAGAAGCACTGGGCTGCGGACACCGAGCAGCTACCTAGTCAACTTTGAACAAGCCTGCTGGAAAGCAAATCAGCCCTCACTAGCGTGACCCGAGACTCCTGAATCTGCACACAGGGTGCAGGAAATAATGTGAGTACGACCACTCAGTAAGTAATAAAAGTAAAGGCAGCTGAGTAGTAAGAAAACACGTATAACACAGCATAATTCTACCACAAAACAGTATATATTCAGAACAATGCAATATAGTAGTAAAACTCTTAAAACACATCTCAGTTTAGTAAAGCCATTTTAAAAAACTTTTCAGCAGTTTCAAATGAGTGAATGAAAACATGGATAAAAGATAGAAACACAAATCAGCCCCTCGGGCAAGATACCAACAGAACCAACCCCTCGGGCTATCTCACAATCACTCATATCAGCCCCTCGGGCAATAACATGGTACAACATCAGCCCCTCGGGTTATATCACATCACAAACTGGGTACTCGCGCTTATTGGGGGTGTACAGACTCTGGGAGGGGGCCCATACGGCCCAAGCGCAATAACAAGCCATCTCGTGGCATAACCAAACAGGCTCTCTGCCTCATATCGAGCCACCTTGTGGCGTAACAACTCAGGCCCTCGGCCTCATAATCATGAATCAGTATAATACTGCTGCGGTGCGCAGCCCGATCCTATAGTATCCTCACAACATAGGCCCTCAGCCTTACTCAGTCAGAATCTCACAAGCCACACGGGCAACAGTAAAATATGATGCTCAGCCCAAAATATCATTTAAAATATAAAAAATGAGTAAAGATGGCTGAGTTGTGAAAACACTAGAATATAGCATGACTGAGTACAAATACGAAGTCAAAACAGTGAGGAATAGTAGTAAAATTCCCTAAGGGTCCAAACAGTTGGCACGAGGCCCAATATGGCATTCATCCAAAAACATTATGATATCAAACAGTTTTCAATCAATACGCAGTTAAACAGTCATACGGGACGAACTAAGTCAGAATGCCCAACGGTGAAAGAACCCACGCTCGTCATCTAGCGTGTGCGTCACCTCAAACTAGCACAACGATGTGATATACGGGGTTTCATACCCTCAGGACAGCATTTACAATCATTACTTACCTCTATCCGGTCCAAAATCTAGCCCGCGATGCCTTTGCCTCTCGAATCGGCCTTAACACGCGTCGAATCTATCCAAAATCAGAATCATGACGTCAAAATATGCTAAGGGAACGAAGCCCATGTGACAATAATCAAATTACAACATGAATCCCGAAATTAACCAGACCCGACCCCCAGGCTGAAGTCTTGGAATCTGACAATATTAACATTAATGGAATCCTTATCTTCCCACGAGTTCATGCATATCAAATTTACCAAAATCCAACCACAAATGACCCCTCTAATCCCAAATTCTAGGTCTCCAATTTCAAGCCCTAGTTTCTTCAATATTTACCCACAAATTTCCATAAATCTCAAGCCTAATCAATGAAATAACACCATAGGAACGAGTTTTATGTTCAAAAATCTTACCTCAATGAAGTTCCCTCTTCAAAATCCCCCAAAAAGCTCCAAAAAATGATTTAAAATGGTGAAGAAAGGCTGAAAGTCGCGAAGGAGGGTTTATTTACTTTCTAGCCCAGGAATACCGCACCTACGGCCTCAAACACGCACCTGCGTGACCGTACCTGCGGTCCATGGGTCGCACCTGCGGAATTCACTTATCCGCCCAAAACCGCATCTACGGTCAAATACCCGCACCTGCGCCATCACAGATGCACTCAGGTCTCCGCATCTGCGGCTCCTGCCTTTCACGTCCTTGGCCACATCTGCGGTCCTTTCTACGCATCTGTGTCATTGCACCTGCGTCCCTAATCCGCAGGTGCGGAAACAACAAGAGGAGAAAAGTTCTGCAACTTCTCCACAACTCCAAACTCTCCATCAACCATCTGAATCCATCCCGAGGCCCTCGGGACCTCAACCAAACATGCCAACATATCCCATAACCTCATTTGAACTTTTTCAACCCTTGGAATGCTCAAGACAACATCAAAACACTAAAATTGCATCGGATTCAAGCCTAAAATTCCAAAAACTTCCAAATTCCGCTTTCGATCAAAAAGTCTATCAAACCTCGTCTGAATGACCTGAAATTTTGCGCACACATCCCAAATGACACAACGGACCTACTGCAACTCCCGGAATTTCATTTCGACCCCAATATAAAAATCTCACCTATCAACCGGAAAAACGCCAAAAATCCATTTTTGCCAATTCAAGCCTAAAGCTACTCCGGACCTCCAAACACATCCGATCACAATCCGAAGTCCCAAATCACCTCCTGAAGCTATCCGAATCATCAGAATTTACATCCAAGCCCTTTTTCACATAAGTCAACATCCGGTTGACTTTTCCAACTTAAGCTTACTCAAAAGAGACTAAGTGTCTCAAACCTTACTAAGACCTCTCCAAATTCGAGCCAACCAACCCGATAGCACATAATACAGCTAAACAAGACAATAAGAAGCAGAAATGGGGAAACAGAGTGGTAACATATGAAATGACCGGCCGAGTCGTTATAGTAATAGCAGAAATCTACAAATACAATGGCTTGATTGATTTGCGATGATTGCGTCGGTAAAATCTCTAAAGAAATATACGCGATCCTGAAAATCCCGCGTCTAAATAAAGAAAACTACAACTGTAAGGATTCTATTTTAAACAAATGTATATATTTTGTAGGTAAAAGTTTTTAAGGTCGGGTAAATTACTAAACATGGACATTTTTTGGTAATAATGTTTGAAAAAGTGTATAGGAACGAAAAAATCCCAAAAAAAAATTGACAAGTGAGCGGGCCGAAGCCCAAAAGATAAGTTTGAGACACAATATATATAAGGGATCTTTACACAAATAGTCGGCCGTATTAATTGTTTACTTTTTCTAGTCATGTACATAGATTATTGATTGTACATAATTGTATACGTATAATATATAAATTATGCATATACTATATATTCACCGGCTATTTTTTAGTTTAAGTGGTAGGTAGACGGCTAATTGGGTTAATACTTCTATATACAATGGTTTGAAGAATTGGGAACGCACTTAAAGTGCTCGTGCCGTAGGGCCATATACCAGATGCAATTAACTCTTTTAGAACTATCCTACAGGGAGCAAAGAAGTGGAAAAGATTGACCAATACTTTGCCAAGCCATATCCTACATTGGCAAAGGACGAAGGACACTTGAAAATCGAAACAAGCTGAAGTTTCTTTTATTGCAAGAATAGTGAAAGGATTTAATTAGAAGACACAAGGTGATACTTTGTATCATACGTTGATAAAATGGGTCTTTGGTAGTGTTCGACCAAAAAGTGTTAAACCTTTTATTGAAGTAATGAAATAAGAAGATTTGAGGCAAATCCTAGCCAAAGATAATATTGAGAGTTAAGATAGTTAAGTGAGGGCATTTTAGTCAATACACACACACACGTGAGAGGCATGTGTAGGTTGGTTATTTTGTTAAATGCTGTTCAAGTCTTGTAATAGAGATTAATAGAAAATGAAATGAAAGTCGTCTTCTTCTTCTTCTTCTTCTCTGAATTCTCTAGATTCTAGGGTTTAATCTTGCATGCAATTCCAATTCTATCATGGTATCAGAGCAGGTTATTGCAATCAAGTTGAAATTTTGCAAGATCTGAACATCGAGCACTGATTAGAAGCTTCGATTTCATCAGTCATGGCGGAAATAGGAAATCTCCCAATTGATCACAATCATCCTCTGTTTTTAGCAGCTACAGATACACCTGGAGTTGCTTTGCACGATATCAAGCTCACTGGACCATAAAATTATGGTTTGTGGAGTAGATCGATGCGGATGGCACTTTTGGTGAAGAACAAACTAGGTTTCATAGAAGGAACTTGCTTGAAAAGCTCTTACGAAGGAGAATTGGCGAATCAATGGGAAAGATGTAACGTGGTTGTTCTTTCATGGATAGGACGTACAGTATCTGCAGAATTGCAGCCGAGCATCGTTTATGCTTCAAATGCAAAAACAATATGGAAGGAGTTCAAGGAGAGGTTTGATAAATCTAATCTCACTCATTTTTACCTTTTATGGATACAAATTGGATCATTAAAGCAAGGTACTGATTCTGTAACATCTTATTATACGAAAATGAAAGACCTCTGGGATGAAATTGACTTGTTAGTTCCAGGGCCTGGTTGTGATTGTGAAGAACTAGGCCTTTCATTGAACAATTTAAGAATTTGCGTTTGTTACAGTTCCTAGTTGGGCTTAATGAAATTTATAGTCAGGTGAGAAGTCAGATATTGCTTAAGACGCCAGTATTAACTGTAAACCACGCCTATGCTTTGGTCATTCAAGAGGAAAGCCAGTGTGAACTAAGTGTGCTTGAGATAAATAGGGAACCTTTAACTATGATGGCAAGATAGAATCAAGGGTATAAGGGTAAGAAGATTGGGATTGTTTGTGAACACTGTGGGTATAAAGGACACCTCAAGGAAAACTGCTACAAAATTATAGGATATCCTCCTGACTTCAAGAGCAAGAAGAAATAACAAGGACAAGGAAATAGAACTTATGCTAACATGATGGCAGCAGAAACTACAAACTCATCTCAAGGCCAACAGATGGGACAACTATTCACTGAGGGTCAATACAAACAGATATTGGAGCTTTTAAACAAAACACCTGCAGGTGATTGTTATACACTAATGGCAGGTATAACCACATTGTTGTCTGATGCATCTTTATGTGAATGGGTAGTAGACACAGGAGCATCTCACCATATCACATGTCATAAAGAAATTTTATCTAACATAGAGAACATTGAGCAACACGGGAATCATAAAGTGCAGGTTCCAACGGGTAGCAAATGTATAATAACACACAAAGGAAATACTCCAATTCTACAGGGATATGAACTAAAGGATGTGTTATATGTTCCAGATTTTAAGTTCAACCTACTGTCAGTTTCCAAACTGACCAAGGAGCTGCTGTGTTGTGCTCTATTCTTCCCTGATTTTTGTGTATTTCAGGGCCTTTACAATGGGAAGGTGATGGGAATTGGTAGAGAGAACTGTGGACTTTATATTCTAAAATGGAGAGACAAGCCAATAGCAGCATTGGTCACCAAGGACACTGATGAGTGCAGTCTTTCGCATATGAGATTGAGACATCTATCAATAATGTCAATGAAGCATATTTCTGCCTTGAAAAATAAAGTAGTGCATAGTTTACAGCATAAATGTGAAGTATGTCCTTTAGCTAAGCAAAGTAGATTGAAATTTCCTCTCAGTAGCAGTAAGACTGAGTGTATTTTTCAGCTTATTCATCTTGATGTTTGGGGTCCTCACAAACCTACATATGATAGGAAACATTATTTTCTTACAATTATGAATGACTTTAGTATATATACCTAGGTGTGCTTGTTGCAGTCTAAATGTAAAGTTGTAACAGTCTTGAAAGACTTTTTTACAATGGTAAAGACTCAGTTTGATATGAATGTGAAAGTGTTAAGATCTAATAATGGAAGAGAATTTTTTAATTCTAGCTGTAGTGCACTATTAGCTTCCTTAGGCATTGTGCATCAAAGCAGTTGTCCATACACACCCCAACAGAATGGGGTGGTGGAAAGAAAGCACAAACATATACTTGAAATGGCTAGAGCATTGCAGTTTCAGAGTTCTGTTCCTAGTAGATTTTGGGGAGATCGCATCAAGACAGTTGTTTACCTCATCAACAGGTGGCCTACATCCATACTGCAAGGAAAATCTCCTTATGAAGTTTTGTATAATAAAATACCTATTATTGATCACTTAAAGGTGTTTGGATGCTTATGTTTCTCTAGCAACCTACCAAAAGGAGACAAGTTTGCAAAGAGAGCAAGAAAATCAGTACTCATAGGTTACTCAAAAGTTCAAAAGGGATATAGGTTGTTTGACTTAGAAACTAAAACTATCTTTGTAAGTAGGGATGTTAGCTTTAGAGAACATATTTTCCCTTTTAAGGAAAATGTAATCATTCCACAAGATCCATTTCCCACACAAGCTTCTATACCACCATATCCTGATTCCTCATTGCCTATATCCACAGACCCTCACATTCCACCTACATACAATATTCCAGCCACAAAGAACACCAATACACCTACTACAGAAGTCCTACACCTTGATCACACAGATCCAAACACAGAAACAACAGAGGTTGAGCATGATGAGCAAGATACCTACACTGACTTAGTTCGAAACACTGAGTCAGAGATGAATGTTACTCCTGACAATAGCACACCTGTGATTAGAAGTGATCAAGAGCCTAGGAAGACTACTAGGACATCTAAACCTCTAGTTTGGTTGAAAGACTACCAAACTACTCAGAAGTTCTCTGGGCAATGCTTATATCCATTGACTCACACCCTTACTTATGCTAATCTCACAGCAGGTTATCAAGCATAGTTGCAGGTTTTTTCAGCTGAAGTTGAACCTACTACTTTTCAGCAGGATTCCACTGATAGTAGATGGGTTACAGCTATGCAACAGGAGATCCAAGCTCTTGAAGATAATCATACTTGTGAGATAGTGGACTTACCGGCAAGGAAGCAAGCTATTGGTTCCAAGTGGGTGTACAAGATCAAATACAAGGCTAATGGAGAGGTAGAAAGATACAAGGCAAGGCTGGTTGCTAAGGACTATTATCAAAAGGAAGGGCTGGACTACCATGACACATTCTCACCTGTAGCAAAGATGGTTACAGTCAGGACCATTATCAGCATAGTAGCTGCCAACGGTTGGCCTTTATCTCAAATGGATGTTAGTAATGCTTTCTTACAAGGGGATCTCTATGAAGAAGTTTATATGCAGTTTCCTCAAGGATTTCATAAACAGGGGGAGTTGAAAGTGTGCAGGCTTATGAAATTCCTCTATGATCTTAAACAAGCATCTAGTCAGTGGAACATAAAGCTCACTGCTGCACTTGTTCAGAGTGGTTACAAACAAAAGTCCTTTTGATCATTCCTTATTCACAAAGCAGCAAGGAGGAGAGATAGTCATTATACTGGTGTATGTAGATGATTTGATGATTACTGGGAGCTCTTCCAACTTAGTCAATGATGTCAAGAAACTTCTACACTGTAAGTTCAAAGTTAAGGACTTAGGCAAGCTGGGATACTTTCTGGGAATTGAAGTATCAAGGTCAAAGAAAGGAATATTGCTCAATCAAAGGAAGTATGCTTTGGAACTAATTTCAGAAGTAGGCTTAAGTGATGCAAAACCAGTTGCAACTCCTATAGAGTTGAATCAAAAATTAACAACTGTGGAGTATGATACATGTGTTGGGAAGACAGGAGATTTGGAGCTGAAAGATAATTCAGCTTATCAAAGATTGATAGGAAGGTTGCTATACTTGACAATCACCAGACCTGATATAAGTTTTGCAGTGCAGACTTTGAGCCAGTTCATGCAAAGGCCCAAATAGCCACATATGGAGGCAGCATTGAGAATAGCGAGATATGTCAAAGGGGCACCAGGCATGGGATTGCTGATGGAAGCATGACCTATTGATCATCTAGTTGCTTACTGTGATTCAGACTGGCCATCATGCCTTAATACAAGAAAATCTGTGACAGGATATGTTGTTAAATTAGGTAACTCTTTGATATCATGGAAATCAAAGAAGCAACCTACAGTAAGCAGGAGTTCAGCAGAAGCTGAATACAGAAGTATGGCTGCTGCAACTTCTGAGATCACATGGTTAACAGGATTGCTGGAGGACTTGGAGTTATAGTGTCTAGACCTGTTACATTGTTCCGTGACAATAAGGCTGCAATACAAATAGCTGGGAATCCAATATTCCATGAGCGGACAAAGCACATAGAGATTGATTGCCACTTTGTCAGAGAGAAAATCAAGATAGGGCTTGTTACTCCATGTCATGTTTCTTCCTCCTTACAACTAGCAGATCTTCTAACAAAAGGACTCACTGCAGCACATCATTTCTGCCTAGTGTCCAGGCTTGGCGTGTTAGATATATTCCACCCTCCAGCTTGAGGGGGAGTATTGAGAGTTAAGATAGTTAAGTGAGGACATTTTAGTCAATACACACACACGTGAGAGGCATGCGTAGGTCGGTTATTTTGTTAAATACTGTTCAAGTCTTGTAATAGAGATTAACAGAAAATGAAATAAAAGTCTTCTTCCTTCTTCATCTTCTTCTTCTCTAAATTCTCTAGATTCTAGGGTTTAATCTTGCATGCAATTCTATCAGATAATTTATCTTAGATAGGGATAAGAGTAAGTAGGCATAAGTGAACATAAATTTTGATCACAACAATGATTAGATCTCGTTGAATCAAAGAAGGATGATGATTTCGATGATATTAAAATTTAACGGAGAATACATAGATAAAACGGGTCACTGTTCTTGAACAAGGTTGACCCCCCATACATTTGACACAATGCAATCTAGTGATGGATAATGAGGATCTGAGCTTCCTTTCTTCTGTCTCCTTGAACAAGAACTGAGATGAATTACCTCTCCTTCTCTCTCAAGATATGTCTACTTGTGTATCTGAGGTTTTTTGCCCGCCCCCTTTAGCTACTCTCTCTCATGCTATTTATACAAAAACACTTTCTTTTTCCAACGGTCCTTAACCGGAATACTTAAGTTCTAGGAATATTCATAGGATATTCCTCTAGAAATGTCTAAGGGTTGAGCTAGCCGTTCAGGCTAAATGGAGTGTCCGACCTCGACCGCAGGCGAGTCACTTGTTAGTATATCGCTTCTCCTACGTGACCTCGGCTCGGTTAGCTCTTGATCATCCTCCCTTAAATGAGATCTTCAGTTCAGATTTCGATCTATACAGGTAGATTTTGAAACAAGACTACTACATTCTCATTTAGTAGCCAACGAGGAATAATGTGGTACAGTGACGTGATGAAGAATTAAGATATTTACGTGCTGAGATCTTGAATTGTTGAACACACGTAGATACTAGAAGGACGCGTTTGCGCTATAGATCGAGGTAAGTTAAGATTTACTCTCCTAATAGGGGATTTCGTTAATCCATGTGGTCCATGCAGCAGCGAAGTCAGGAATTTACTCAAGGGTGTTTAAATTTGAAAAAAGTGAAAAAAATTCTCCGAAAATGAATGTTCAATATATGTTATATACCTCTATATATAGTGTAATTTTCCAACGAAGGGTGGTCAGTTGACCATCCTTTATAACATGTAGCTTCGCCCATGGCTCCATGTATCCGATGAAATTCCTAAGTTATGTCTTCTTGCATTCTGGTAACCCAGTTTACTCCATTCTCATTCAACATGAATTTATATGTGACAGAATTACATACTTATGTGTATTATCACTTGTTATGTGTCTTTCTTTGTGATATTTACATTCAGTTTCGTCATTCATTCATGCATTAATGTGATCACATTTAGGAGGGAGAGCTAGCCGACCTCCCCTCGCGTGAGTGCCATGATGCCAGTGTTAACTACCCCACGCTTGTAGGGGCTATTGTTTGTTGGGGAGATAGGTCGACACTGTGTTTCCAGATTTCACGTACACAGGGCCACTATGTGTAACTATTTTTCAAAACATGTTATTTTTTAAAAGATAATTCACTTTCCGCTTAAGTTATTTTCAAGTCCCGTTTCAGTTTAGTTCATACTTTTAGTTTTCAGCTCACTTACCAGTTTACAGATTTTTTAACGATTTACATGATATCCGGCAAAACCATTTCATGTTATATTCTTATTTTGTTTTCTAGAAGGTCTCGCTCCGCCTTTTTAGAAGGTAGCCTATAAGACTTACTGGGTATCCTTTGGTGGAACTTAACCCGTTTGGGCTTGGCACGTCGTGTGGCAAGTCTTGATATTGCTAGTGACGAGACACGTGGTTAGAGACAGACTATGTAGATTTAGTTGGGGACCCCTGATGATTTTTCCCAGCAATGGTCGAATTACTTCAGCTTATTTCCTTGTCATATCATGTATTCTTGGGAAATGCCCCATAGTTTATGTTTTAGATTGAAATCTTTAGAGGCTCATGACTTAGTCCAGTGGGTTATAGTTCATGGTTCATGTACATTAATAAGAATCAGCTAACTCAGTTTACAAATTATCATTTTAATTAGCTTATTTTAATTATTTTAGTTTCATTGTACTTAATAGTATTTATGATATTTACATCTAACACAGACTTGTTAAGGGTTGGCTCGACGGTCAGCTAGGAATGAGTGGTAATCACGTCCACCCCAGTTTAAGGGCGTGACATAACAAGAGAAGTAAATACTTAATTAATGTTTTCGTAAAAAGAGTGACGGAACGAAAGGAGTAACTTTTAGTTTGAAACCAAAGAGCTGATTTCAACAGCTACACCACGATATTCTACTAGAACATGATAAATAGCTCAAGCACGAAACCTCCTACGTGATCACGTATTTTCATGAAACCACTCATCGTTAGTACGGAGGATGTAAAGAATTATGAGATAGAAGAATCAAATAATACTTGGCATTTAGACATGCATAACTTGAAATTCTCAATTTATTGCTTGTAATTTGAGGATGTGTTACTTCTCTGGTTCTAGTTGAATGTATTTTTGAATGATCTCGTAGACTTTGGCATGTGCATTCTTGAAGATAAAACTATTACTTTTACCTAATATATTTAATAAGAGCTTATAACATGAATTAATCAATGACAGGCTGAAATGTAAAGTAATAGAACGAGTGCGTATTAAAATATTTATCTGCACTTCGTGTTTATATTTAATTCTATTAATTTATTATGGTTAAGTCATAGAGTAATATGAGAATATGTATTAATTAATTACTCCCTCCATTTTAAATTATCTGTCATTTTTCTCTTTTACACGACCCTTAAGAAACATTAATTAGAAGGAATTTTTGACAAATTTACCCTTATTTATATTTTAAAATATAATCGATCTTTATTGAATATTTAGTTTATTTATGTGGCATCTCCATCTTCAAAAATAATTACTATTAAGGGTAAAATGAAAAAAAAAATTTGTCTTGAATTTCTAAAATGACAAATACTTTAAGACAATTATTTTTCGGAACCACAACAGATAATTTGAGACGGAAGAGGTATAATTTACTAATATTCATATTTATGAAGACAAGTATCATATATTTATTGTATTGGTATAAATACCTATAAGTTTTTGAGACTGTTTCAACATTCAATTTCATTTTAGATGTGAGTGCACCTACGATTTAATGATAGGCTAGAATTACGTATTTTAGTCGATTATTACATTCCAATTCACTGCACTTCAGTTGAGTTTGCGCTTTAATCGCTAGTGTTTGCACTAATTGTGTGTTTTATGCCTTGTAGGAGTGATTCCGAGCTATGTAGATGTTATGAATGAATTCAAGTGATTTGGAGCTTTGAAGTCTGAGTAAAAGCCCAAGGATTTAAGCCGGGAT